GGGTGAACATCGTCGGCCCGACGGGGAGTTACTTCGGTAACGAGCGATGGTTCCATTTTGGTTCTTCAATTGAACCTGCTGAACGAGTTAGTACCGCATTTACATCTGCATAGAGTCGTGAGTCGGTCTCTATGAGTTACATTATCATCTTTATATGATGTTTTGGTGAAATGAACGTAATTGTAAATGTTTAAGTGAAATGCTATGAATGGTGAAGCATGAATTGGTGATTGTGATTGATTATGTACGTGTACACTGTGATGTATTGTAACAAGTTGTGGTGAGAAATGTGAATTGCGTGTATGTTATAATTGTGTTTTATGATATATATATATATATATATATATATATATATATATATATATATATATATATATATATATATATATATATATATATATATATATATATATATATATATATATATATATATATATATATATATATATATATATATATATATATATATATATATATATATATATATATATATATATATATATATATATATATATATATATATATATATATATATATATATATATATATATATATATATATATATATATATATATATATATATATATATATATATATATATATATATATATATATATATATATATATATATATATATATAATTTTATGCATTGTTGGTTATGATAATGTTTCTCACCCTTCTGCTGTTTTATAATGCTCTATGAGGCATTGCAGAGTAGGATGTTGGAGGTCTTTTGTGAAGCGAGTCTCCATTTCTTTTAGTCAGATGGCTCTGATATGTAACACTGGGTAGTTAGGAATTGTTTTGATTCTTTTGTAATACATATGTGTATGTATCTGCTGCTGAATGTTTTGTAAACTCAACTGATGAATTGAATTAATCTGAATGATGTATATGATGCTTATGTTAATGAAGTGATTTCAATATTTAGATGTTTCCGCTTTATTATAAATGTTGATATGTGGGTTTTAAGCGCTATGCTTTGTTTTTAGTTGAGATTTACCCCTTTTGTTACATTTCTTTATGAGCAGGTATTATTTATGTTGCGTTTCGATGATAATGTGATGCGCCTCTTTTATACAATGTTTTAATTTATACTCTGATGAAACTTTTACTAGTTGCTTATATGATTTTAATTGTTTAATTGGGGGTATAGAAAGGGGGTGTTACACGACGCATTCGCTCCTAAGTCAAAGTCTTTAGTGCAAAATGAATTACAAATCAAATTCAATCCACTTCTTGTCTTAAAAAACACAAAAACAAACATCAAACTTTTTTATCCTTCGGGATTTAATTTGGAAATCTTTTTCATAAGGAGAGTTTTGTTAACTCTTGGTTCTACCGCAAACAGGTAAAGCCTAAGTCTCCAATGGTCGAGCTGCATACACCTAACTGCTAGAACTAAGTTTTAACCCTACTCGGGTAAAACATTTGAACCAACCTATGGTCTTGTTAGCCCGAACTACGTTTGCTCTGATTTCTCGTACCAGACGAGGATACGTAGGCACAAGACGGCGATGTCTTGGCAAGCAACCTTCCCCACCTTCACCTGTAGTTTTCTGAACTATGTTGACTCTGACTTTCCCGTTGCACGAGGGAATACGTAGGCATAGAGCGGCGATGCTCTATTGAGTCTCTTTTCTTTTCTTTTGTCCCTGTGGCCTGTAGCTAGATAGTAAAAATCCTTTAGATAGATAACAAGCGTGGATCTCGTCGAGTACAACAGACTTGAGGGGTTTTAATACCTTCCCCTTGCGTAACCGACTCCCGAACCCAAGATTTGGTTGCGATGACCTGTCTTATCCCTTTTTCGTTAGGTTTTCTCTGATCGTTTCCTTTCCCTCTTTGGGGATAAATAACGAACGGTGGAGACTCTTTTGTCCTTGTCGGCCCTTTCTTTGCAACGATGTGACAATCATCAATAAGAACAAAGACAAACATATAACAAATGTAAAGAGACACAAGCAATTGTTAACCTAGTTCGGTGAAAACACACATACGTCTGGAGGCTACCAAGCCAGGTAGGAAATCCACTAAGTAGAATTAGTTTAAAGATATACAGTAGACTCTCTCTAGTTTACCATCTTCTCACATAATCTCTACCCTTGCAATTTCTACCTAGGACACGTCTAGATAAGAGACACCTCTCACTCCCCCTCAATCACAACAGTGATAACAACAACAAATAATAAGACTTTAGAAGACACTCTTCAAAGACACAATTTGATCTTGCACAAAAGCTTCAATCAAGTACAATACACTCTTGCTTACAAGCTTTGAGTGAACAATTTACAATACATAACTTAGTCCAATTCACACATTAAGATAATGAGTGAATGACTCACAAACTAAAACACGTGAAGGCTAGAGCACTAAATCTTACACAATTGCACACACTTAATCCTAGCTTATTTGATCTCAAAGCCAGGGTTTGCGCATCCTTAAATAGCAATACTGAACGGGCTTGGGCTGTGGAAAAAGTAACAACTGATTGTGAAGAGATCAATCTTCATAATTCGCATCAATGAAACAGATTTGATTTGATCAATCAGATCCAATCAAATTACTCTTTAAATCTCCAAGATAATCTTCTGAAAATAGCTCCACTTGAAATCAACCATGATCCACAATATGTGAATCAAAAACACTTTTGCATAACACCAAAAACCTCGCAGATTTATACCAGATTAGTGCCACAAGTTTGCACAAAAGAGATAAACAAACAAACACATTCACGCAGAATGTTTTGTTCATAAGAGTCAGGACATCATGCTTGACATCATGATATAAGTCCTGCTACAACATACAAAGCTACCTGCAGAACCTTAAAACCAGATGTCACGACATCCTGTAGGACATCTTGTGATTACACCAAGTTTTACCAAAATGTCTACCAATCAGGAACTAACAACTCGTATATAACAAACTTGTCGAATTCTTATATGTAACATTTACTCGAATAATTTTCTTGAACCTTCCAATAACACAAATTCCGCTCCAAGCCTTTATGTGTAGATTTCAGCTCCTTGATCCTAAAGATTTCTTGAGCAGTGAAACGATTCGAAGATCTGAGAAGAACTACGTCTTATCTGTAGTCTTCCATACAATTACTACTAAGACAATGCTGAAGAGAAGAACCTACTTCTTTTCAATGGAATTTCTCGCCACCATTGACAATCCCTCATCTTGCTAACAACTTGAAAAACTCAGTAAGATATCAAAGAATGGTTAGTTTTAAGTACATGTCTCCTTCAATCAATCTCAAAACTCTTGTTATCAAGATTTGAACTCAATTAAAGTTAAAGATGTGAGAAATTAGTCGCAAGACTTTGAACACTTAAAATAGAGAAATTTGGTTTTCACTCAAAATCACGCTGAAAAATATTAACATAATGATAGATTTTATTTTTAGAATGATGACACAAATGATTTATATGTGCTTGAGATAGATCACACAAAATGGTTGAAAAAAGGTAGTTAGATTTAAATCAATAAAAATATGATTTGGATCAAATGAGCAAAATAAGGTGAAATGAAAGAAATAATTAATTTTTGAAAAAGATGCTAGTTGATTCTGATCAGGCAAATAGTGATTCGAATCGAATGCCATGTGATTTGAATCATGTCAAAAATTTGATTTGGATCAAAAGATATAGAACTGGTAAGGATTTTTTGAAAAAAGATTTGATTCAAATCATGTTCAAAATTTAATTCGGATCAAATCAAACAAAATCAAACATGATTTTTGCAAAAAGAGATTGAATACAATCATGTACAAATTTTCATTCGAATCAAACCAAACAAAATTTGTTTCTAAGAAAATGATCAGGATCAAGTGTAAAATTTGATCAGGATCAAATTACTAAGTTTAGCTACTATCCAATTCAATCAGGATCAAAAACTCAGTGTAAAACTGAATTATTCGAATCAATCTTGTAAAATCTCAAAATTTCAAATTTTCAAAAGCATTTTGAGATTTTACCTTTGAATCAACTTTGACGAAATAACACAAAATGATTTCATTCAACTAACATATCCTATTGATAAAAGAATATTTAGATCAAGATCAAATTTAACTAAAGTTTTATACATGCTAAAAGTGAATCAAAACAAACTCGATTTCGAGAAGTGCAATCATGAAAGAGACTCAATAAATTAAAATAAAAACAAAGATAAAAGTGATAAGACAAACAACAAAATAATCTAATAGTAGGGACATACAACTACACGACGTTCCTTAATAGGCCCACCCCTCAGACTTCTACGAAAGGCGTAAGAGTTGCTATTTTCCATCCAGTCTTTCTTTTAGAACGGAAATGATGAGCGGCGGTTGGAAGTAGCTATCGATCGATCTTATTCCAACTAAAATCTAATATTCATTTTTAGACACACTTGACGAACCTTTGCTTCGTGCTCCGATCTGAGAAGACCCTGATTCATCAAATAAAAATCCTATTATCCGACGTTAACTATGAATTTATGGTATTAACTATTGGAAGTACATGTAATGCTATATTGAAAGATGGATTGGGAATCTCCGACGTGACTTTAAAAAATATTGCTTTGAGACCCGACCTAAACTTAAATCTAGATCTCATATTCTTCATTTTGCTATTTTATGGAGATCTCAAGAAAAAGATATGTCACATCCTTCCTTTGACCTTCCTCTCCCAATTTTTCTATAACGTATAAGTGGAGAGTGATAGGTATAAGAATTTTATGTTATAAAAATAACATTTCTCTATAATAATATTTGTTCTCTAAAGAATATTAAATGTAGGAGCAAGCATGCACGTGTTCATAGTTGATTAATATTTAAAAGTAATGGTACATTGACCTCACATAGTTTAAAAATCCACGTTAATTGAGTGGGGTAATAACATAATATTTTGTTATCCACAGGATATTTTAAAATGAGACACTTTCCTATAAATGAAAGAGTTCAACACTCGTACACAACCAGCAAAGAAAAAAGCCATCTTTAATCAATATTGATTTTATGGAGAATCCCAACGACATTTTGTTAGAAGGTGATGTTGTAGATGGTGCTGTTGACTATCATGGACAAGCAGCCATTAGATCCAAATCTGGTTATTGGAGATCTGCTTGGTTCATCCTAGGTAATTTTCATACTATAACACACTAATTCATCTTCTTCATTAGTTTTTTGAGTTTGTCAATGTAATGTTTATAGGTGTGGAAGTGGCAGAAACAATTTCATTTTATGGAATTCAAGGAAACTTGATATCATACCTAACAGGACCGCTCAAACAGAACACTGCAACAGCAGCTAAGAATGTAAACGTTTGGTTTGGAACAGCTTCTCTTCTTCCTCTCTTAGGTGGTTTCGTCGCTGATTCTTTCCTCGGACGCTACCGCACAATCGTTCTTGCTTCTCTCATCTATATATTGGTTAGTTCTGTTCTTCATTCTTCAAATTTACCCTCTAATCTATATTGTTAGCATTGTTGATGAATATGTGAATTATTAGTATTTATTCAACAACTTTTATTTTCTCTATAACTGTCTTGGTCTTTCAGAATCCGTTTCTTTCATTATCTAGATATCTATAGTCAATCAATTAAAGCGAGGACAAAATTTGCAAAAATGAATTGATTTTAGTACCTTCATTTTTATTTTTTATATTCTAATAATATAAGATTAGATCTATAATGAAGCTTGTGGTTATATATATATATATATATATATATATATATATATATATATATATATATATATATATATATTTATTTATTTTTTATATTCTAATAATATAAGATTAGATCTATAATGAAGCTTGTGGTTATATATATATATATATATATATATATATATATATATATATATATATATATATATATATATATATATATATATATATATATATATATATATATATATATATATAAACGAAAAAGATATACGCATTCTTCCTTAATATGAAGAACTATATAAAGGTACTACGCATTCTTCCTTTCTACAGTAATGTTAATACGAAGAACCATACATGTCCTTGAATTCATCCATGTATATGCATGTGAGCCACATGCTAGATCGTAAAAAGTTGTTAAACCACTTGAATCGTGACTTTCCAAGTTTTAGTTATATAATTCTCAACACGAGGCTAATGTAATTGAAAATACTGCGGATTAATAAATGCTAAATATAAAATGAAAGCACATGTTTGTAAGCAATAAAATCGGTTAGAGAAAAATCTAGAATTTATTGGATAGAGAAAAATACTTAATATTATTATGAAAAAGAATAATCATGACAGCTACTCCAAAAAGTGTTTAAATATTAAAAAAAAAAAATAATTCTAATGAACTTTTAAAACAAAACAGAAAATTGTGTAAAATATTAAAATGTTGTTTTTCGGTCTAAAACAAATCCAAATGGCCTAGAAAGTCTATAGCTCATGGCGAAGCAGTGAGTTGAACCCGTGAGCTGAATCCATATCCAAAAATATTTAATAATAGTCATTCAAATATCGAATGCTAAACTTGCACAAATTTTGTCGAACCTTCCCTACGTGCGACTTCTTATTCAATATGTGCGACCAGCCTTCCAACATCAGAGGTCATGCCTTCCCTGAGTCATAGCTATATGAGCATGATAGACCTGAAGCAATATATCATGATCGATATCTGCATTAACTTGAGACTATCTTAGTTCCTGGCCTGAGTTTCTGTATTTTGCTTTTAATGTTGAAAAGTGTTTCAATTATAATATCACACACAATTTTTTTCACATGGATCACATAAAGACAATGTCTTACATTAAGATTAGACTTGTAACACCCTAAACCCCAAATATGATTTATAAAAACATTGAGGAAAATATGAAGATAATTTTCAAATTCTAAGGTGAAATTTTAATTCAAAAATATAACATAAGTAATTAGTTCAAACACAACTTAAAGACATAGAAAAGTATCTCATCCCGATGTTACAATATCAGAGCGAAGGAAAAATGAATACTAAAAGACCGACAAAAGGTACGATAAACATAACGTAGAAATAAACTACTGAAGATACCAACTTTGCCATCCTCCTAAAATAACAACTATTACTCCTCGGTCTCAACCTGAGAATTATCAACATAAAAGTACAAAGGTAGAAACATAAAGACAAGAAATGAGTGAGAATACATTCCACAATTACAATACTCTATAAACAGCAAGGATAGTACACAACAAGCATATTCAGTCAACACAAATGTATAATATACAATTTCATTATGCAATGTGTACTTTCTCTACTCGCATACATGTGGTATCAATCCTAACACTACACTGAAGTCCTAAATAGTGGACCAAGTCATGGATATCATAGTTATTTAATTGAGTGATCCTTCAAAATGGACCGAATTCCTAAACATTATAATAAAGTCTTAAGTTAATCACTGATATACATGATACGTGATAAAACACATGCATATAATCTTCATCCGAACCTCTTACTCCAATTGTCAACACTGTCGACTAAAGCTAACAATGGTTCTTTTGAACCTAAGACATATCATACACTAGTTCTTCGAACCTAAACTATATTCACATCAATCACTATCTGTTAGGGCTAAACATTTATTTGCCTTGAACCCAAAATCATAAACTATCAACACGGCCTAATTACGAGGCAACTAAATATTAAATCAACAAAAATCAATATAAAAATTTTCTCAATAAATAATCACTTAATATGATGAATTAAATCGAGGAATCCGCGCCAATGCAAAAAATTGGTCAAAACATCAAAATCAATCAACAACAGGGTTGACGGTCTGACCGTCTCGACCCTAACGTCGTCGCCCTTAGGAGAGCTCAACTGTCATCGGTGGTGGTCTAGAGGAATAGTGCCCATCACGGTGTGTTGACGGTTCGACCATCACATGTGCGACGTTCGCCATTGCTAGCGGTATGGCGTCTTCCTCTCTGATGAAGTGATGGTTGGACCGTCATGTAAGTGATGCCTGTAACCGCTGCAGAATGCGATTTTTGCGATTTTCTCAATGGAAACAGATCTAAACCTCAAATTTGCTCCCAATTCATGTAAAAAAAATACAAAATTTGATTTACATGAATAAGCAACATATTTCACATCAAAGGATATCAATCTAACACATATCACATCAAATATTCATATTTTCTTCATCAATTCATCACATAGCATATTAACATCAACAATCAAAACCTTAGTACACATTTAGATGAATTTCACATCAATGATAAGGAAACCAACATCAACAATACACAATCAGAATCTACAATTAACATAATCATTGAGATTTTGCACAAACCTCGCATAATTTAAACATAATAGAGAAAATGGGCTAAGGGAAATCCCCATTATCCATAAGCTTAACACCCATCAAGAATAACCTTACCCCTTACCTCGATTAAGCCAAAACTCTTGAGTTTTTTAGTTATGGGAGTTCCTAACCTTTAAAATCTCTCTTTTAGGGTTGCCTCAACTCTTCTCATTTTTCTCTTCTAGCACGTATATATATGTGTGTGTGTGTGTGTGTGTGTGTGTGTGTGTGTGTGTGCGCGCGCGCGCGCTTTATGCACAACCACAAAGATATGTTGTAAATTATGAAAAGAATGGGTTATAAAGTAGGGTTAGTACTTAGTGTACCAAATGGGTTTATTCCATCAAACTATCAGTCCAATTTTAAGGTTCCTTGGCTCATGGAAAAAAAATCCTAAAATAACGAAATAACTTTCTTCCATTGCAAAGAATTAGCTACATGGAAAAATTTTCCATCATATTTTCTTTTATCTGCATTTCATTTAATATTATTTTCGTAATTTACATTAGCAAACAACTTATTGAACCTTGAAATAATTATAAGTCACCACATCACCTTGGCAGAAGGATCATTTCTACATACACCACCATCAACATCATCATCATAATTGTCTTTTAACTTATAGTGCGACTCCCTACACTTTGGGAACTGGTTCAGTTTTTCATACTCTTTATTGTATAACATGGAATCATTAAGACATGCATGTATTTTTATATAGTCCAAACCTATTTAACACAATATTTACTTAATCTCATAATTACAGTTCGACAAGGTGTTACCTTCGGAAGCATGGATTTCTATAATTCAAGAAATTCAGTGTAACTTTTTTCCATCCACACACTTTCTGCCTTCAGATTAAGCAGCCTTAACACCGCTAACAATCGTTTAAAATATGTACACCGTAGATATAATAACTCTTTCTTGCCATTACATAAAGTATCATACACAAGGGTTCTCCTAAAAGAATCTTCTCCAATATCATGGATCATATCTTCTAATCGATCATCCGTATTTACATCAAATTCATCTCCTTGTGACACAATTGATTTTTTTTCCACTTCACCATTCCATGTCCAAGTCGTATAATATTGACTATACATCATAACATAGATGATTAAACATTTCTTTGTTTCCGAGTTTTTTCGTATTCCCCAAAAAAACACAAAAACAATAAAAAATTTCATAAATTTTAAAAAAATTTCTTTTAGCAGATTGAAGAAATTCATCCTTTATTCTCATACTACATACTTAATCTATTAGCTTTTATCCAACTACAATCTATAAATACTTTATGAAAATAAAACCAAAATCTAACACAAATCATACATTTTAGATGAAAACTTTGTTAAGTCACTTTGTAATATCAAAACATTTCTAAGTCACGTTGTCATAAATCTACACCTATATTAGACACACATTGCTAAATTAAATTTACAAACTACACATTTTAACAACCAAGATTCAACTAAAATTTCTCCACACCTATAAAAGAGATGTCATGACTTTATTAAGTTAACACAACAACAACAATATTAAACCTTCAATGTCAACAACAACAATAATATTAAACCTTCAATCTCAATAACAACAACAACATTAAACACTTTACTTAACTAAACAACATCGTTAAAACTTTAATCTCAACAATAACAATATTAAACCTTCAATCTCAACATCAGCAATAACAACAACATTAAACCTTAAATATCAATAACAACAACATTAAACCTTTTATTTAACACAACAAAATCATTAAGCCTTCAATTTCAACAACAACAACAATAACAACAATAACAATATCTAAATCTTCAATCTCAATAACAACAACAACAACAACGTTAAACCTTTAAGCCTTCAATCTCAACCACAACAACAACAACATTAAACCTTTAAGCCTTCAATCTCAACAACAATAACAACAACAACATTAAACCTTTAAACCTTCAATCTCAACAACAACAACAACAACAAAAAATTAAAATTAAAATATCTCAATAATAACAACAATGTTATTGTTTCATGCACGGAGAGAAAATTTATGTACAGGAAACATGATAAAGAATTCAAAGAAATGAGTTACATTTGAAAAAATGGTGTTTCGTTCATTCATAGAAGATGGTGTTTCGAAGTAGATGATAAATTTTGCTAGGGCTCATGAGGTATTTGTTAATGCAAAAGTGAAGAAAACTAGCACTTTGTTATAGAAAAGGAAAATTGTTCCCCTTTTCTCCATGATTGAACCTCCCAACCGAAATGAAATCTCATTTATTTTTAATTCAAATTTAAAATAAAAAAAAATAAAGCGCCATTTTAATTACTAATTAAAAAAAAGGGAGGCACTTTCCCCCTCGTTTGGAATTTCCAACCGAGAAAAAATCTTATTCATTTTTAATTTAAAAGTAAAATCTTAGCAATGTGTCATTATATAAATACAAAAATGTTGTTGTTGGAAATCAAACACATAACTAGTGTTACTTAGACCCTCGGTTGAATGGTCATCCGAGAAGAAATCTTATTCATTTTTAATTTAAAAATAAAACAAAATCAATGCGCCATTTTGAAAATACAAAAACATTATTGTTGCGAATTGAATTCATGACTAGTGTCATTATCCTCTTATGTTAGGAGATCCAATTGAGAAGAAATCTTATTCATTCTTAATTTAAAAAAGAGGGTGCCTAATTTAGTAGGTTTTACTTTTGGTCTATATTCAACCGAGGTGAAAATATTGTTAGAAAATCTACATTTTATTGTAATTCCATCTAACAAAGTAACTTTTTGTACGAGGGGTTTCACCCCTCACATAAACCCCTAAATGCTAGAAATGGACTATATTTATTGTAGTAACTTTTGCATTTATGGAATCTTCAAAAAATGAATAGAAGCAATAACTCCAACTTGAAAAATATGGAAATCTCTAGGTGCAAAATAATTTAAATTAGTTTCTTGTTTTATTATTAAAGAAATATTTGTTGTAGGATGAGTATTCAATGTTTCAAGATGTGAGGTGGTTAATTTATCATCTACCTCGAAACACCATCTTCCATGAATGAACGAAGCACCATTTCTTCATCTTATGCACTAAACGAAATTTGAAAATACCATTTCTTCACTAAACCAAACTAAAAAGTGCCATTTCTTCTATAGACGAAGTTTAAAAACTTCATCTTCTCTTTTCTAACTCGAACGAAGCAAGGAAAAGGTGACAAAACTTGAATGAACCTTAAAGAAGAACACGGACGAAACTCAAAACTCAAACGAAACTCATTTCTTTGACTTCTTTATCATGTTTTCAGTACGTAAACTCTTTATCAATGCATGTAACAATAATATTTTTCAATGTTTTTGTTGTTACTAAGATGCTTAAGGTTTAATATTGTTATTTTTGTTGTTGAGATTGAATGCTTAAAAGTTTAATGTTATTGTTGATATTGAAGATTTAATGTTTTGATATTGTTTTGATACTGGTCATTAAATTAAAATGAATTACAGGGACTAGGCTTACTAACATTATCAGCAATACTTCCTTCCCTTACAAAGTGTTCTCCTCAGTCACAAGTAGTCTTATTGTTCATCTCACTATATCTAGTTGCCATTGGACAAGGTGGGCACAAACCTTGTGTTCAGGCTTTTGGAGCCGATCAATTCAACGAACAACATCCTAAGGAGCATAGAGATAGAAGCTCTTTCTTTAATTGGTTATGTTTTACAACGGCTGCTGGTTGCATATTAACACTTCCGATTTTGAACTATATACAAGATAATTACAGTTGGGTTCTTGGATTTGGAGTTCCTTTTGTTGTAATGATCATTGCTTTGATTGTTTTCTTGATGGGAACAATGACCTATAGGTTTAACATTAAGGATAATGACAAGAGTCCTTTCATTAGAATCGGACGAGTATTCTTCGCGGCTATAAGAAAATGGAAATATGCCTTACCATACATAGTTATTAAAGAAGAATGTGATGGAATGCTTCCCCTTCAAAGATCCCAACAATTCAAGTAAGAATTATTATTATATATTTTTTGTTTATTGAAGATGCTTTTTCTTGAAGGAAAATAGGCTATGTTTACTTATCTTGTTTATTTATTTTCTTAACTAATAAACATAAGAATATTGATCCTGCATTTTTATCATCATTTTGTTTCACAATGATATTAAGATTAATATTTAAATTGATAAAATGAATAAGATGATGATAAATGAATGTGTATAACTTCATATAGTGATCCTAAGACATCTGAGATAACTCATTAACAAGTAATCACAACTAACTTCTAATTAAGTACCTTGATTGATGATGAAGTTTTCACAAATCATGATGAAAATGAATGAAAATGGAGAAAAGAGATAGATGGATGCAAAATTACATTCATTTATTGATCAAGTTAGTTATAACAGGTGGTTATATAGAAATTTTACGATCTAACAACCTCTAACTAACTGTAAAAAACTTATGTTTAGGTGGGATATGATATAGAAAAACTACACTAAATTATGGTGTTCAGCTTCTTAATGTAACTTCTGAATGTAGCTTCTAAGTGCAACTTCTGAATGTTGCTTCAAAACACAGCTTCTCAATGAAACTTCTGAATGCAGCTTCTAAAAGCTTATGCAACTTCTGAATGTTGTTTCAAAACACAGTTTCTCAATGAAACTTCTGAATGCGGCTTCTGAAAGCTTGTGCAACTTCTGAAGGCTTCAACTTTTGAAAGCTTATGCAGCTTAAACATTCCCCCTCAAGCTTAACATGATACAAATCAACCATTTTAAGCTTGGAAATGAAGTAATTTAAGCTTTTGGGTGGCAATGGCTTTGTGAAGAAGTCAACAAGTTGGGATTTAGATTTTACAGGTAGCAATTTAAATACTCTTTATAGCAACTTGTCCACCACGAAGTGATAATCAATCTCCAAATATTTCGTGCACTTGTGAAAAACTAGATTAGTTGCAATATGGATTGCACTTTGGTTATCACAATATAACACAAGTGGCTTACTACATAGGACTCCTATATCCTGTAACAAAAAGAGAAGCCATTGAAGTTCACAACTTGCAAAGGATAGTACCCAATATTCAGCTTTAGATAAGCTACGAGAAACAATTTGTTGTTTCTTAGCTCTCCAAGAATTGAAGTAAGAACCAATGAAGAAACAATAGTCTGGAATAGATCTTCTAGTATCCAAACATCCATCCCAATCAACATTTGCAAATCTAAGAAGCTGAAGATTTGAATCTCTTTTAAACAATAACCTTCTCCTAAGTGAACCTTTCAAGTATCTCACAACTCTCCAAGTTGTGTCATAATCTGTAATGGTTTGTGATGCAAGGAATTGACTCAGCTATTGCGTCGCAAAATCAGCATTAGGTCGAGTGGTTGTTATATAAAGCCATTTCCTTACCAATATTCTATAACTGAGTATGTCTTTAAAAGGTTCACTTGAGTCTTGATGTAATTTGACAGATGGATCAAGAGGAGTTTTAGCAGGCTTGAAACCAAAAAGGCATGTGTTTTTTAACAAATCCAAACAATACTTTGTTCGGGATATGCTTATTTCAACTTTAGAATGTGCAACCTTTATGCCTAGAAAATATTCCAGCTTTTCAAGATCTTTAATTTTAAATTTAGTGTCAAGTGTGACCTTCACCATGTTGATTTTATCCATAGAAATGTGAGCTAGGATGATATCATCCACATACACTAATAAAGCAGTGAAATGTGAATTTGTGTGAAGAGTGAAAAGAGAATGGTTAGAATTTGATTGTTTGTAGCCTTGAGTAATAAGAAGACCAGTCAGCTTCTCATACCATTACATGCTAGCTTATCTTAATCCATACAAGGATTTTAGAAACTTTCACACTTGGTTTGGTTGAGGACTAGTAACACCATGTGGCACTGACGTGTATACATCCTCATATAAGTCTTTATGTAGAAAGACATTATTTACATCTAGCTGGTTTATATGCCATGAATTGATTGATGCTAATTCCAACAAGGTCCTGACAGTGGTGATCTTTGCCATAGGTGAAAATGTGTCAAAGAAATCAATCCCCTCAACTTGATTATAACCTTTATTTACAAGTCTTACTTTGTATCTTTCTATGAAGCCATTAGATTTATTTTTCACTTTGTAAACCCATTTGCTTCCAATAGGTTTTACATGTAATGGAGCATAAACAAAAATCCAAGTTTTGTTATGCTTCAAAGCCTCTAGCTCAAAGTTCATGACTTTGACCCAAGATTCATGCTTGCTTGCCTCTTCGTAGTTATTTGGCTCAATTGGCACAGTGATCGAAAAAGAAAAGTTATGTTGTGCAGTAGACAAAGTTTTTAATGAATGAAAGTTTTCAATAGGATAAAGTATACCTGAAGAATGATTATCAACTTATTTCTTTGAAAGGTTGCATATGAAATCTGATAAGTGGCTAGGATTTTGAGTAGGTCTATTGGATCTTCTTAAAATACGAGGCTTAAGAATGGTTTCAGGTTGAAGTGTGTCAATGTTAATGGTTTCATGACGAAGTGTCACTAGAGATAATGTTATGTTGAGGTGTATAATCATCGGGTATTAATGTATGGTCAATATCAGTTTGGTCAATATGAATAATGGCTTAGTGATTAGTAGCAGTAGGAATTATGACAAGGTTAGTATAAACATTATGATTATGGTGATATGTCCAATTGAATGATAGGTTTGGGTTAGAATAAGGGAGAACATGATCATGGTGTATAACATGTCTAGAGACAAAAATGGATTTGGTATTGAAGTCAAGAATTACAACACCTTTGACATTTTGCTTGTATCACAAGAAAACACCCTTTCTAGCTCTAGCATCTAGTTTGGTTTTATGGTTTTGTAAGGTGGTAGCATAACAAAGGGATCCACAAAAATTTAAATCAGTTGAGTGAGGTGTGGTTCCAAATCTATGAAAGAAGGGTGATTTATCCTGAAGTAAAAGACTAGGTATGCGATTTATGAGGTAGGTAGCATGAAGAATGGCATAGGACCAAAAGTGTTTAGGTAACTTAGACTAAAAAAGTAAGGCTCTTCAACCATTTAATTGATGTTCAATACCTTTGGAAGAATAAAATTCAGGCATGAGAAACTTAGGACCATTATTTATCCTAACAATTTTAACTTTGCAGTTATATTGGTTTTCAATCGTAAGTATGAATCTTTGAAAAAATGAGTAACTTCATATTTCATTTACAATGAATAACCCAATTAAATATGTTAACATGATTCAAATAATAAATAAAAAAATTCATGGATGAACATATATAATTAGTGGCACCTGAGTTCACAATCTATGATCCAATGTTAACATGATTCAAATAATGACAAATTCTAGAGATACATGATGTGACATGGGCATAAGAGGCTAATGTTACAACTAACTAGTTCAATAGTTTGTGTACCAAGTTATTTGCACTATCATCATGCATGTTGTTTTTCATCGATGGTTTTATGTATGCAGACTTTAAACTCATGTCATAATGTCATTTAACAAACCCAACAAAAGCAAATTAGTAGTTTAAAGAGTAAGAATATATTTTCTTTCAACAATGTCATTTTTCTAAGGAGCATCAATTCAAGAAGCAAAATGAATAAAACCATCATATATTATTATAAGTTTAGTCACCATCTATATAAAAATAAAAAATAAAAAACATTTTATAACAACATTATATTGATTTATAACTATACCATATTTAAAATCAAGACTTTTATGTAAAAATATCATTTATCTTTTGACTTAGTTTGTATTTTCTACATTGGCAGCTTCCTCAACAAGGCATTGTTAACACCAAAAGGATCTAAAGAGGAAAATAACTGTAGCATTAGCGAGGTTGAAGAAGCAAAGGCAACATTAAGATTGATTCCAATTTGGGCTACATCTTTGGTTTATGGCATTTTCCACGCACAAATTTCTACATTCTTCACCAAGCAAGGGAAATCTATGGATATAACAGTATTTCCTGGTTTCGACATACCTCCGGCTACACTTCAAATGATAAGCGGTATTAGCGTTGTTCTCTTCAGCCTTATATATGACCGCATATTTGTGCCAATAACAAGATCTATCACTGGAAAACCTTCAGGCATCACAATGCTTCAAAGAATTGGAACTGGAATTTTTATATCCATATGCACAATGGTAATTGCAGTGTTTGTTGAGATTAAAAGACTTAAAACAGCAAAAGAGTATGGTCTTGTTGATGATCCTAATGCAATTGTTCCAATGAGTATATGGTGGTTGGTTCCTCAGTACTTTTTGTTTGGAGTTTCAGAGGTTTTTACTATGGTTGGTCTTCAAGAATTTTTCTATGATCAAGTCCCAAATGAACTAAGAAGCATGGGACTTGCACTCTATTTGAGTATTGTTGGTATTGGAAGCTTTCTAAGTGGCTTTCTCATTTCACTAATTGAAAATTTGAGTGGCAAAGATGGTGATGAAAGTTGGTTTTGTGACAACATCAACAAGGCACATTTTGATTACTTTTATTGGCTTCTTGCTGGATTAAGTGCGGTGGGGTTTACTTTGTTTGTTTACTTTGCAAAATCTTACACTTATATTCACAAAGGTACCATCACACATGCATAATCATTGTTTACTTTTTCTATCATGTCATATTTGTAAACAAGTGTTGTTTGGTATGCATGATATCAAACTTTTTTTTTATATGGCATATGATACACATGATCTTGATAATATAAACTAAGGTCATATTATGTGTAATACCAGATAAAATATTGGAGTGTGTGTCATTCTACTCTATATTTGACGATGCTCTATATAGCACTACATAGGATTTTGTTTTTGTTAGAATATTAATTTAAATAAAATGGATAGAAGATAAAATCTAAATCGTTTATTATAGTATTTTAAGTATTTTAAATTATTTTATAGTTTGTATGCAGGAATATTTAAGATAATTTACTGTATATTCGAGTTTGTAAAAGATTGATGAAAACTCGAATGTAATGAAGATGAAATCTAAAACTTTGTCTAAAAATAATAAATCTTTCTAATATACTTTTTAGAATTTGGAATGTTCAATTTATAAGTCAAATAGTGTTGTTTCACAAGGTTGCAACATTGATGAAAGACAACAACACTTCTTGCTGAGTGTTGTAACTTTTTGCTTCACTATAACAAATAACGTTTTTCATGACGAAACTTTCAACTTGAACAATAGAAAACTGAGGTATAAAGTCAAGACACGCTATTTTTTATTATTTAAAAAAACATAAATTCTCTCGGTTTTTAAAATAACCGAGGTGAAAAACAATTCAGTACAAGTTTTGATTCCCAACTATCACAGTTTATGATTTTATTTGTTTATAAGTGTAAACAAAATATTCTAATCCTTCAGTTTTCTATTTAACCGAGACATAAAATAATAAAATTTTACTATAGAAGCACTCATTAAAACGATTTTACCCTAATCCTTACTAATATGAAGTCGTCCTAAATATCATTCTTTGGGATGAATTGCAAGACAGAAAAAATCTTCAATGTTTTCCTATCTTGAACAAAACACTTTTTCTACCTTTGCAATCTATCTCACATAATGGTTTTGATGTTGTCGTTATTGTATTTTTCGAAATAACCCTAAGTTAAAGAAGGGTACTCAATTGCAAGTGCAGAAAATCATTATTGCTTCAAGTTACCCAAAGAATGGAGTTTAACCAACAATGAAGAGAGCTCAACCTTTGAAAAGTCTTCACTTCATAGATTGCAAGTATAAAAAATCATTCTTGTTTAAAAACAATTGTTTTAATGGGTATGCAACAAAACTTGGATATCACTGAAAATTTGTTGTAAACAATATTTTTTAATATTTTGTGTAAACAATGTAATTTATAAAAAAAAATACTCACCTCGAGTTTCTTTAACATCGAGGAGATAGTTAATAGAAAACTCCAGTTTTATAGTAAAACTGAGGTGGTTAGTAAGCATATCTTAATTTTAAAGCTCTCATTAAACAGATTTTACACTAATAATAAATTATATGTAGCCGCCCTCAAAGAGAGGAAATATTCACCAACGTCAATTTCTATCATGAGCTACTACTACAAATCTACGCGATGGATTGAAAGTGCAAAAAAATAAAAATTCTTATTTGAAAAAATATTTTACAATATATTTGTAATATTTTGCATAAACAATGTAATTTTAAAAAAATAGATTATTCACCTCGGTTTTCTTCTTAGCTGAGAGGATAGTTAAGCATTTTTTTACTATTCGTCCTTAAACAAATCTTTGTCATCTATTTAATGTTTATCAATGCTCAAAAATCTGTCATCATTGATCCGCGTGAAACCTAAGAGACATTTGCTATAAAAGCATGTTGAATATTAAAAATCTAACCGAAGTGAAACATGAAATGCTTAAAACATAAAGAGGTTTGAAAAAGTTCTCTAAGATGGATTGCAAAAGTAGAAAATTATTGGGTTTAAGGTTTGTTTTCTTAAATAATCATATAACTGAATGTTTATTTTATTTAGCTAACCTTTTTTTATATTAGAAACAAATGAATGCAAGTCATAGAGAATATATTGTATTTGATCTATGAAACGAGGATCCCAAACATTTTCTCTTCTCCAAGAAATCCACCATTTATTCTTCATCGACAATGATGACGATGAAGACCAACATTTTTAATTTAATATTATATGTAAACAATGTCATATTCTTTGTAAACAAATTAATTTATTAATATTCTATGTAAACAATGTAATGAATTTATTTTTACAAAAACAAACTATATAACCCCTTATTTTTTAAATAAACCGAGAGGTTTGAGGAGTTGTTTGTGTAAATAATAAAAATGCAAATGTTGTGGATCGAACCCATGATCATATAACTTTACCCCTTTGATAACACGAAATAATATAGATATTTTCATGCATAATTCAACTAAAGTCTAACCGTTTTCGATCCGATTTCGGGTTATTTCCATGTATTTGTCTGATGTTTTTGCAGGTATTCAACGATCACGTCTAAACAAGGCAACATGAAGAAAAGAAGCAATCCCAGATGAAATATGGACGAAAAAGGAGTGAAAACACAATGAAAAGCGCAGCAGACAGTTTTTGCTGATGTGACGACCGTCGCAGATGCATGACGACCGTCACACGGGTGACGACCGTCACACCTTGTGACGACCGTCATGCAGGCAAAAACGCCCCACTCAGATTACACGTTAAAAGAGCAGTTCCAATTCCCATTAAATGGTCCACTACTCCCTAAATTATCTGCCTCAAGGTCCATCATCCTCAGAGGTAACCGTTGGAATTCCACCTTTATAAAAAGGGAAGCAGGGGACTTCAAAAAGAGAGTTGCATTCATACCACGAAGTGCTGCCAAATTTACTTTCCAGCAAATTTACTTTCATTTATTATTTGTATCCATTTCTCCAGTTTCATTTGTATCCCTTTCCTTTATTTCCCTTTCCATTCTACTCATTCCCATTTCCGCTCTTCTGTAATTGTTACTGCACTGTACGATCGAATTGGAACTAAAGACAGAATCCTGCCAACATCTGTGGAGGATCTGCCCAAAGGCCAATTGGCATTATTTACAGGTTTTCATTTTGATCGACTTCTATTTTATCATTATGCAATTTATTATTTATTATTATTATTTATGTTTTGCTTTTCTAAATTCCATGTCTAGCTAAACTTAGGTAATCGATATGTAGTAATAATTCGAATGGGATTTGATAGCTCTTGTTTGAAAACTTTCTTTTCACAAAAATAACTTATGGTCTAAGTGTTTAAAATTGATTTACGAAATAAACTTCGTCGCGAAAGCGAGAACTTGTTTTAAATTAGTTTTGCCACGAAAGTGGGAAATTAATTAAGATACGAACCAACAAGCGAAAGCTGCGGTAAGGTCAGATAGTAGACACTAGGCATTTGTTTTAATAACAGCGAAAGCACTTTAAAACGAATTAGAACTTAGAGATTTCCAAAAAGTAATTTTAACCCCGAACGGAACACGAAAGTGTACGTTAGGCCCTTAGGATTATGATTAGCGTCAATAACCATCGTGAGACGAGAGTCTTCAAATCTCCACTTTCTGCTTAAATGAACTGTGAAAACTATTTCATACACCAGTAACTTATCAAATCCCTGAAGAACATAATTACTACGTATCGATTCAATTAATTAAAATCTAAATAGTAATCTTAGTTCCCTCTTTTAGTGACAAATCTTATTCCCTTAAAACACATTCTACCTAGCTAAACATAGTAACTCCCGAGAACACTAGTTTGATTACGAGTCCCTGTGGGATCGATATCTTTTATTACTACGCGATAGACTGTGCACTTGCAGTTAGTTGTATTAGACATAGAAAGTCGCGATCAAGTTTTTGGCGCCGTTGCCGGGGACCCGTTTAGTCAATAGTGTAACCTTCTGTTACGCCGTATAGTCTAGGTAAACAATTTTCATTTTTCCTTTACTAGTGTTGTCGATTGTATGCCAAGTGATCGCCCACAAAGCGATATCTTGAAACCTTCAGTCGCAGAACTAGAGCGCTTCTTACATCTAAGAAGCCGAATCATTGAGTACCAACTCAAACATAACATTCCCGATCCTCTCACTCCCATTCCCAAATTCGAAGAAGAACCAACGATGGCTGAAGGACCTCCGAACAAACCGCTGAAGGCATACGCTACACCATCTCAGATGGAGCCTAGAAGTAGCATTGCTGCCCCAGCTATTACCCGAAATGATTTTAAGCTGAAACCATCTTTGCTGTCGGCTGTACAACAAAACCAATTCTCAGGAAACGCAACTGAGGATCCGAACGAACATCTAACGAAGTTTGTACAATACGCAGACACAGTGAAAGCAAATGGAGTAACTCCAGACGCAATAAGACTTCGTCTTTTCCCATTCTCTCTTAGAGACAGAGCGTGGACATGGTTACAATCGTTACCATCCAACTCCGTTACAACGTGGGAGCAATTGAAGAACGTCTTCTTAGCGAGATATTTTCCACCAAGCAAAACTGCTATGCTTAGAGCTCAAATCAACGGATTTCGACAGAAAGATACTGAATCTCTCTACGAAGCATGAGAACGATTCAAAGATATGATGAGAACATGTCCTCACCACGGTCTAGAAGACTGGGTGACAATCCATACTTTCTATAATGGGCTTCTATACAATACTAGATTAACCATAGACGCTGCCGCGGGCGGTGCACTTATGGATAAGCCATACGATGAAGCCTATCAATTAATAGAAAACATGTCACAAAACCATTGCCAATGGGGAGGTGAACGCACTCCAAATGAGAAAACCTCAGCGAAAGGTGGGATGTACGAAATCAGCAGCCTTGAAAAGTTCAATGCTAAAGTAGATGCTCTAGCACAGAAGATCGATAGTCTGACCGTTAACCCCACTGCAACTGTCGTTGCAGTAACTCCAAATTGCGAGTTATGCGGAAGCACCACTCATAATGCACCCGAATACCCATTGCTAGCCGGAATCCCGCCAGACCAGGTAAATTATGCTCAAGGAAATCCCTACGCAAATACCTACAACCCAGGTTGGCGAAATCATCCAAACTTTTCTTACAAAAGCGAA